TGGCAGGCCACTCCAGTAGGATAGTACCTTCAAGCTAAGTTTTCTTTTCCTTTTAAAATGTGTTACCCAAGTAACTGCATAACAAACTGTCTCCCAGTTTAGCAGCTTAAAACAGCAAACATTATTATCTCAGTTTCTGTGGGTCAGGAATTACGGAGCAGTTTAACTGCTCGGTTCTGGCTCAGGCTCTTTCATGAGGGTGTAGTTAAGATGGCCACCGAGTGGGCTGCAGTCATCTGAAGGCTTGCCTGGGGCTGGAGGATCCACTTCCATGATGGCTCACTCTCACATGGATGATGAGATCATGCTGGCTATTGGCAGGAGGCCTCACTTCCTCACCACATGGACTTCTCCACAGGGCTGCCTGCATGTCCTCATGACATGGCAGCTGGCTTCCTCCTCATGACATGGCAGCTGGCTTCCCCCAGAGCGAATGACTCAAGAGAAAGACTGAAGCCAATGTCTTTTATGACCCAGCCTCAGAAGGCTTTTATGACCCAGCCTCAGAAGTCCTACACCATCGTTTAAAAAAATTGTTTTAATTGTGGCAAAATACACATAACATAAAATTTACCATTTCTAACTGTTTTTAAGTGCACAGCTCGGTAGCATTAAGTACATGACATTATTGTGCAACCACCGCCACCATCCACTTCCAGAACTCTTTCATCTTGCAAAACTGAAACTTTGTAGCCATTAAACACTAACTTCCCCCTTTCCCCCCCCCCCCCCCAGCTGCTGGCAGTCACTAGTCCACTTTTTGTCTCTATGAATTGGGACTATGCTAGGTACCCCATATAAGTGGAATCATACACTATTTGTCCTTTTGTGATGGACTTAATTCGTGCAGGGTAATATCCTCTAGGTCCATGCATAGTGTGACATCTGTCAGAATTTTCCTCTTTATGGCTGATAATATTCTGTGGTATGTATATGCTACATTTTCTTTATCCATTTATTTGTCAGTGGATACTTGGAATGCTTCCCCATTTTGGTTGTTGTAAATAATGCTGCTCTTAACGTGGGCATACAAATACTTGTTCGTGTCCCTGCTTTCATTTCGAGTATATATCCGGTGTGGAATTTCCGGATAACATGATAATTCTGTTTTTTCCAGGCTAAATGGATCCACTTTATTTTTCTTGTATGAACATACTACGTGGTGGCCATGGATGGGGTCTGGCGCCTCCACATGGAGACTCTGGTGTAGCTCTTTACTGGATGCTTGATGCTCAGTGATAACTTTATAGGCTTGGTTAACACAGTCTCTTCCTAGAGGTTGGGTGACATAGCTGGAGGTCTTGGAGACGGCATCAAAGGTAGCCTTGACAATGATGCCCAGAGGGGCAGTGCTTCCCCTGGACAAGGTATAGCAGTCATTGATAGCAGCCATCAGCAGCAGCTTTTTGGGCAGAGTAGCTGAGATAATGCCAGTGCCTCTCAGGCTAGGGAATGAGGCATACTGGCACGGAGCTTCTGCAGCTGGTCAGCTTGCAAGGGGTGGTATGGGGCCTCTGATTGAGTCTTGTCCCTGGGTACCCTCGCTGCACAGCAACAGTGGTGAGCTTGGCCAAAGTGATGGTGCCTCGAATGGCAGCGGCTGCCTTCTGAGAGCATTTACCCAGATTGACATGGCTCATGTGGCCCCCGATGGCAACAATGCCTTGAACCTGGTTCACTGGCCAGCCGGGATCTGTTTTTGCACAGGCATAATCCTTAAGCTCACCCTTAATGGTCATCTCTAGGAAAAAGTCCATGACCCCTTAGGCTCCTTGATGGGCAGGGGGAAGAGATAGATTTCCTCCAGGGACTCAGCAATCATGTCCTTGACCAGGTGGCCCAGCTTGGTGACAGGGAACCACACTTGTCCTTGGCCTTGCCTCAGTGAGCTCTGTGGCTCAAGACACCTGCAGCTCCAGAAGCTGTTGCCCAGACCTCTGGAAGTCGCTGCTTCCAGGCTTCCTACAGCACATGCACGCATCCTCTGCCATTTGGTGTTTTCTTGGAGGAGAAGGGCAATTCTATTTTTAATGTTTCGAAGAACCATCATCCTGTTTTACACAGCCGCTGCAACATTTTACATTCCCACCAGCAGTGCATAAAGGTTACGGTTTCTCCACATCTTCACCCACACTTGGCATTTTCTTTCTTTCTTTCTTTCTTTCTTTCTTTCTTTCTTTCTTTCTTTCTTTCTTTCTTTCTTTCTTTCTTTCTTTTTTTGATAGTAGCCATCCTAATGGTTGGGAGGTGGTATCACTGTGGTTTTGATTTGCATTTCCCTAGTGATTAGTGATGCTGAGCATCCTTTCATATGCCTGTTGGCCATTTATTTGTATATCTTCTTCCGAGAAATGCCTATTCAAGATTTTAATACAGTAGTTTGGTTTTTTGTTCTTCTGAATCTTAGGAGTTCTCTATGTATTTTCTGTATTAGTCCTTGATCAGATATGATTTGCAAATATTTTTTCCCATTTCGTAGGTTGCCTTTTTATTCTGTTGATGGTGTCCTTTGAGATGCAGAAGTTTATCATTTTGATGAAGTACAATATTTCCATTTTTTTCATTGTCTGTGCCTTTGGTGTCCAGGAGGGCGTTGTCAAATCCAATGTCATGAAGCTTTTGCTCTTTGTTTTCTTCTAAGAGTCATATCATTTTAGCTCTTAACATTCAGGTCCTTCAAGCACACTATGTTTGCTGCATCCATGGCGCTGGACAGCAGGGACTGGGGGACGCTGGAGGCCATCTGGAGGGTTGACACCCACAATAATTCAGGTATCTTGTTTTTAAAGTTAAGCAATTCTTGGGGCGCCTGGGTGGCGCAGTCGGTTAAGCGTCCGACTTCAGCCAGGTCACGATCTCGCGGTCCGTGAGTTCGAGCCCCGCATCGGGCTCTGGGCTGATGGCTCGGAGCCTGGAGCCTGTTTCCGATTCTGTGTCTCCCTCTCTCTCTGCTCCTCCCCCGTTCATGCTCTGTCTCTCTCTGTCCCAAAAATAAATAAAAAACGTTGAAAAAAAAATTTAAAAAAATAATAAAATAAAGTTAAGCAATTCTAGGGGCACCTGGGTGGCTCAGTCTGTTAAGCCTCCAGCTCTTGATCTCAGCTCAGGTTTTGACCTCAGGGTTGTGAGTTCAAACCCCGCGTTGGGGTCCACACTGGGCATGGAGCCTACTTAAAAAAAAGTTGAGTAATTCTGTAAGATTTAGAGTGACAATGGGAATCGTTTGTTCTTTCTTTCCTCACTGCTACAGTCTTACTCTCCACACCTCAGAGATGCTTGCTTTCAATTATTTCTTTTAAGCACTTTCTTCTGTTATTTACCTTCATATTTCTAAGTCTGCCATTTCTGGCTTTGCATTTTATGTATTATTTATTAACTTCCTATCAGGAGATGGAAATTTAGCATTCTCATACTACCCCCGCCCCTGCCCCTGCCCTGGCATAACCCCCACCACATGCACACACATTTCCCTTCTTCCCATCCTTGTCCTATACGATAATATCATGTGTTGTTCAATCAGTGTTCATGTTTTCATTATCATAACTATTCCTTCAGAAACTTCTGGGCCTCTTAGGGTCCTCATTTCTTCTCTCCTATTTATCCATTTCTCTGTTGTCTGAATTTCTGAGGGATTCTCTTAATAATGCCTTCTACTATCTGTTTACCTACATCCAACTCGGTACATGTTGTGAAATGAAGAAATGTTCTGAGTTTCAAATTTCTTCCAGTTCAAGACAATTCACACATTGCCGCAAACCCATGGTGGGAGGTGAGGGGAATACGTGTGTGTATACACACACGCGCGCACACACACACATTGTAATTAATATAAAATATACAATACATATAACTATGTGTTTTCCAATTTTCTACAGACTTAAATATTTCTGCCCTTAATTAGTTGGACAAAATAATACATACATGTAGCCACACCATGCAACAATCACACAAATACATACAGATTGTGGGGAGATAGACAGCCCGCTCCTCAGAGATAGTCGCAGTTAAAAAATTGATAAGTGTATTTTGTGCTTTTCTGAGGCTTTTTTTTCCTTCCTAATGTCTCCATGGTTGTTTTTTTTTTTTTTTGTCTATTTATATAAACCTACTTAAATATTTTCAGCTACTATGCAGTTTTCCAAAGTTTGAATATGCGCTCTAGTTTATTATACCACTCTCCTAGTAAAGAGTAAGTTGTATCCAATTTAGGTATCTGCGGTGAGCACCTTGTACATATATCTGTGTGAGCTTGTGCAAGTATTTCTATAGGGTATGTTCCAAGTGGAATTTGTTGGGTCAAATGCTATGTATACTTGGAATTTTTTATGGTCACTGTCGAATTGGCCTCTCGAAAGGCTTTACCAGTATAGCCTCCAGTCTGGCGTTCAGAAGCATGCCCTTTCTCCACACTTTTGCCGGCATTACACCGTTGATCTTCTGAACTGTCACATCTTTTTCATAAACTCCCTCCCATTTTTACTGACCCTGAGATTAGAATAGAATCTATCTTTGGAAATATCAGGGACGCTTTGTTTTAGGGGACGACCACAACTGAGATCGGGCCCGGATGGGGAAGGTAAGGGGTTCTCAGTGGTCTCTTTCTTTTCATAATGTCAACTCAGACCAGAAAGAATCTCTGTGAGTCAGCTTCTTTCCGCCACACTGCTTAGGTGCTTTTCTCTCCTGCTTTTTGTTTTTGACTGATTTCATCCAAGGAACCTGACCCTTCCCCCTCCTGAAGTAATGAATAACCAGAAAAGTCACAGAGCCCAGCACTGAGTGAAGGAAGCTTAAGGAAAATATTAAAAAGGAAGAAAAGTGTTTGATGTACTTTTAATATAAAATGTGGAAAAAGCAGAGGAAGGGTGGGGGTTGGGGAAGGGAGGGGGAGAAAGATTATTCACGGTAATGGGAACCAAATGTTGGCTGGGCCCGGCGGCTTTTCAAAGTGATAATAACGAAGAGCCAGCAGCACAGGGCACGCCTTAACCCTTCCCTACCTGCACAGCTCCTTCCAGGCAGCTTTTCGGGGGGCGGGGTCCACTTGGAAGAGGTCCTGGTACGTGGAGAATTTCTGTTCCCCTCCTGCCACCGTGACGAAAGAAGGAAGGTGGAGGCGAGTGGTAGAACAATGAGTGGCCACCTGCCTGTGAAACCCCTCCCTCTGTGTCGGAATCTCTCTCTCTGTGCAGGGTTTTCATAATCTCGGGCAAGGAGCAGCCTGCTTGACCAAGAGCTCACCGGTCGTGAGCAACGAGATCATCTCCCTTTGCTGTGTAAAAGGGGACTTAGCCAGAGCCGAGGTCCCAAGGAACAGACAGGCGCGCTCTCTCCATCAGTAATAACCCCACTGCATGAAGGCCCCCCGCCGTGGAGGCTCAAGTCCTCTTGGGTGCCAAGTACGTGCACTTGTCTGAAGGCTCGGGCCTCTGTTTCTCTTGGAAGTCTTCTCATGCCTCTGTGGGATTGACATGTAAAGACTGTTCGGAGCTGAAGGGCACTCCCTGACTTATGACTTCCAGGTGGTCAGGGACAGGCCTGTCAGCCTAGCCGTTTATCTGTGGAGGGAGAAGGGAAAGGGCGAAGGGACGGAGATCCTGCTTCAGGTGGCTCTTCACTTCCATCTGGGTTCAAACTTTGTTTAGGCACTTTTAAAAGTCCATCTCGTAGGGGCGCCTGGATGGCTCAGTCGGTTAAGCGTCCGACTTCGTCTCAGGTCATGATCTCACGGTTTGTGGGTTCGAGCCCCGCGTCAGGCTCTGTCCTGACAGCTCAGAGCCTGGAGCCTGCTTCAGATTCTGTGTCTCCCTCTTTCTCTGCCCCTCCCTCGCTCGCTCACTCACTCTCTCTCTCTCAAAAATAAATAAAATTTTTAAAAGTCCAAAAAAAAAAAAAAAGTCCATCTTGTATAAGAAAGAAGGAAGCCTTGTTTTTTTATGTCGAATATTTACCATTTTAGAGAGGCAGCCCCCAAATGTAGGGCAGTGGTAGCGATAGGGCAAGCAGCAGACGAGTGCTCAGACCCGGTGGTCAGCTGGGCGGGCTGCTGGAGCTCCCCAAGCTTCAGTTGCCTCATCCGTAACATGAGGCGGAAGAGTGTCCGCCTGCTCGGAATGTTCAAGGTTTAAGTGAGTTAAAGCAAGGAGAGCAGGTAGCACACTGCCTGGCACCTACCTCTCCCTGTCTTCGTCATTCTCGTATCGCTTACAGCTAAAATTGAAGTATCCGTTTTGTTTCAAATGTTTTTTTTTTTTTTAATTTTTTTTTCAACGTTTATTTATTTTTGGGACAGAGAGAGACAGAGCATGAACGGGGGAGGGGCAGAGAGAGAGGGAGACACAGAATCTGAAACAGGCTCCAGGCTCTGAGCCATCAGCCCAGAGCCCGACGCGGGACTCGAACTCCCGGACCGCGAGATCGTGACCTGGCTGAAGTCGGACGCTTAACCGACTGCGCCACCCAGGCGCCCCTCAAATGTTTTTAAAAGACATCTTGGGGGGATTTTATAGTTCTACATTTCACATTTAAGTCCGTGATCTATTTTGAGTCCATCTTTGTATGAAGTGTGAGGTTTATTTTTTTTAATTTAATTTTATTTTTTAATGTTTATTTTTTGAGAGACAGAGAGAGAGTGCGAGTGGGGGAGGGGCGGAGAGAGAGGGAGACACAGAATCCGAAGCAGGCTCCAGGCTCCGAGCTGTCAGCACAGAGCCCGACGCGGGGCTCGAACTCACAAACCGTGAGATCATGACCTGAGCCGAAACCAAATGCTTAACCGACTGAGCCACCCAGGCGCCCCCGTTGTGGCTCATTTTTTTGCCTGTTGACATGCCATCGCTGCAGCACCATTTGTTAGCAAGCAGATGGCTTTAAAATGGTGATCCTTCCTTCCTCCATCGGGTTGGTTTTTCTAGCTTTGTCAAAAATCAATTGAGCATATTTGTGTGGGTCTTGGATGATTTGATTTGATTTTACTTTACTTTAACTATTTTATTTTCAGTAGTGAGTCTTTAATTTTTTTTTTTTTTCTTTTTAAGTAGGCTCTATACCCATCATGGGGCTTGAACTCACAACCCTGAGATCAAGAGCCGCATGCTTCACTGACTGAACCAGCCAATGACCCTGAGTCTTGGATGATTTTAAGTATTCCTAAAACAAAGGCCGATAGCAATAACTGTTTATTAGAAAATCTTCAGCAAATGCTATGTTAGGTTCTAATTTTCTGTTCTTCAACATACCTTTGATATCCTACCGATTTAGGTTCAAAGCAGCTCTTTTCACTTCCTCTGTATGTGCGGGTTGACCTGTTACTCAGTGTAAGCCTTGGTGTCCTCGTCTTAATACAGAATAGTGACCTGTCGCAATGGGTTGCTGTCAGGACTAAGCACGGTGAGGCGTAGAAGGGGCTCAGCTTGAAATCAGGCGCGTAGAGAGTCCTCGCTCTAATGGTAGTAGCGGTGATGAGAGTCGCCTGCCTGGCCATCCATCCTAAGCCACGCTTACTCACGCTCCTTGCCTTCCCCAAAGCTTAGCTGTCTTTAGCCTTCCCATCATAGTGTCTTCACGCGTGCATGAGTGATCCCAATGAAAGCTGCTGTGCTGTGCTTTCCTTAGATGACACTTTTGACCAGTCACATTTCTATTTCTGAACACAGTATACGCGAGATTGCCATCTTACCAGCTTTAATGACAGTCACCACCCCCACCGTTTAGCCACACGGGATTTCCTGTTCTTCCCTGCTCGTTTATGTGCTACTCCTTCTACCTGGAATGTCCCTTCCTGTTGTCAAATTGCTGGTCGTCTTCTGAGATCATTTCTACTTTGAAGCCTTTCTCGATTTCCCCCATAGGAAGTTGCTCTCTTCCTCTTGTTTTCTAAAGCTAGTGTCCTATTTCCAGCACGGTGGCACCCAGAGTTTGGGGAGTCACAGGAGTTGTTCTTTCTTAATTTGAAAAAATATACACATTTTCTTTATGATACATGAATACATAAGATATATCCCTATGTGTTCCTGTTAACATTAAATGATAAAAGCAAGATAATATAATCACAGTGTGCTGGAATAATATGAATGATATGTACCAGAGTACCATGATTGCAGAATAGGATTATGGGTGGCATTTTGGTCTGCTTAGTTACACTTTTCAGTTCTTGGACATTTTCATAGTCAGCATGTATTAATTTTTAAATTGACTTTTATGTTCTTCAATGTGCCTTACAGTTTATTATTAATTCAGAAATGCTCTTATTTGAAACAATAAGATTCTTTTTTTTTTTTTAAGTTTATTTATTTATTTTGAGAGAGAGCGAGCAAGAGCGGGGGAGGGGCAGACAAAGAGGGAGACCGAATCCCAAGCAGGCTCCACACTGTCAGCACGGAGCCTGATGTGAGCTCGAACTCACGAACACGAGATCATGACCTGAGCCGAAATCCAGAGTCGGATGCTTAACCGACGGAGCCACCCAGGCGCCCTCAAACAATAAGATTCTTCTTGTGCTTTTGAACTTAAATCTGTAGGATTCCAAAGTTATATTGAAGTACAGAAAATTAGAACCTAACATAGCATTGCTAAAGATTTTCTAATAAACAATTATTGCTATAGGCCTTTGTTTTAGGAATACTTAATATTTGTTAAAGAGGGGAACGAAAGAAAGGGAGGAAAAAAAGAGCTAACATTTCTTGAGTGCCCAGTTCATGCCAGATCCTGTACTTCTGTATTCCTGAAAACATGAGCATTTTTACCCTCAAGTACAGATGATGAATAGCTGTGGAAGTGTTACCATTTGAGGGGCACCTGGGTGGCTCAAGTCAGTTAAGCATCAACTTCAGCTTGGGTCATGATCTCACAGTTCGCGGGTTCGAGCCCCGCGTCGGGCTCTGTGCTGACAGCTCAGAGCCTGGAGCCTGCTTTGAATGCTGTGTCTCCTCTCTCTCTACACCCTCCCCTACTTCTCTCTCAAAAATAAACATTAAAAAAAAAGAAAGAAATGTCACCATTTAAGTCTAGCTCTTTCTTTTTTCTTTTTCTTTTTTATTGTTAAATATAGTACCTCTTTAAAAAAAATGCAGTACCTCTTAATCGCTTCCACCTATTTTGGCTATCCCCCCACCACCTCCCCTCTGGCAACTGCTAGTTCTCTGTGTTTACAAATCTGCTTTTGGTTTTTGTTTTGTTTTTAGATTCCACAGGCTTTCTCTGACTTATTTCGCTTAGCGTAATACCCTCTAGATGTATCCATGTTGTCACATATGACAAAATCCCATTCTTTTTTATGGCTGAGTAATATTCTGCGTGTGTGTGTGTGTGTGTGTGTGTGTGTGTGTGTGTGCGTGTGTGTGTGAACACCACATCTTCTTTATCCATTCTTCGGTTGATGGACACGTGGGTTGCTTCTGTATCGTGGCTGTTGTAAATAATGCTGCAGTAAACATAGGAGTGCATATATCTTTTGGACTTAGTGTTTTCATTTTCTGTGGGTAAATGCCCAGCACTGGAATTATTGGATCCTATGGTATTTCTGTTTGTAACTTTTTGAGGAACCTCCATACCGTTTTCCACAGTGGCTGCTCCAATTTACGTTCCTACCAACAGTGCACGAGTGTTCCTTTTTTCCCACGTCCTCGCCAACATTTGTCGTTTCTTGTCTTTTTGATACTAGCCATTCTGACTGGTGTGAGGTGGTATCTCATTGTGTTTTTGATTTGCATTTTCCAGATGATAAGTGACGATGAGCATCTTTTCACGTATCTTTGGCCATTTGTACATCGTCTTTGGGAAAATGTCTATTCAGGTCCTCTGCCCATTTTAAATTCAGATTATTTGTGGGGTTTTTTGATACTGAGTTGCGTAAATTTTTTATGTATGCTGGATATTAGCCTTTTATTGGACATAGCTGCAGATACCTTCTTCTATTTAGTAGGTTACCTTGTCGTTCTGTTGATAGTTTCCTTCGCCGTGCAGAAGCTTTTTATTTTGGTGTAGTCTCGATAGTTTATTTTTTCTTTTGTTTCCCTTGCCTGGGAGGCATATCTAGAAAAATGTTGCCAAGGCCAATGTCCAAGAGATTACTGCTGTGTTTTCGTTTAGGAGTTTTATGGTTTCAGGTTTCACATTTAGGTCTTTAATCTGTTTTGAGTTTATTTTTGTATATGGTGTGAGAAAGCAGTTCAGTGTCATTCTTTTGCATGTGGCTGTCCAGTTTTCCCAACACCATTTATTGAAGAGACTATCTGTCCCCCGTTGTACATTCTTGCCTCCTTTGTTCAAAGATTAATGGGCCATATAAGCATGGGTTTATTTCTGGGCTCTCTATCTTGTTCCCTTGATCTATGTATCTGTGTTGTGCCAGTACCAGATTTTTTTATTACTATAGCTTTGTAGTGTATTTTGAAATCTGGGATTGTGATACCTCCAGCTTTGTTCTTTCTTGATTGCTGTAGCGATTTGGGATCATGTGTGGTTCCGTTTGAATTTTAGGACTGTTTGTTCTAGTTCTGTGAAAAATGCCATATTTGGTAGGGATTACATTGAATCTGTAGATTGCTTTGAGTAGGATGGACATTTCAACGGTGTTGGTGTCCAGCTCTTTCCGGTATGAAAGTGTCTGCTGTTTTTACTACTTTAATTTTCCTCCTTTTAGAGGA